ATATTATGCAAAACAAAACTTTGGTCAATGCTTTAATACTGGTCCAAACACCTGAATTAAATCGGTGCATGGAAAGATTTTCAAAATTATTATTGATTTGATGTTTATCGAAATATGTTCATAGCTGGACTAGGGAATGGAAATTTTAATACAACTTTGATCCCAGACGACTTTTCTTTTTTGTGAAAAAGTCATCGATAGACGTCCATATTAATTGAGCATATGACTTATCACACTTCAAGAAATCAAATCACAGGGATTGTATTTTCATGCAGAAATTACAGGCTGCCTAGAGTCATTTTAGAGTCAACTGAAATAACCACCTGCAGTTTATAAGACTTTGGTTGCAAGATTATGTTAAGTAAAACATTYCTATAATTAGTTAATCCCACTACGCAATAGGACAACTAGAACACGTACAYGTGTGTGGAGAACGTAAACCAAATGGAAGATAAGCGTCTATGAAGTAGCCCATTTGGTGTAGATCSGTTGATTTCAACAGTCTACGTGTAGCCTAGAAGACCCCAATCGTCAGAGTAAACAAGAATATGCCGAAAGGTGTCTGATAGGTCCAATTTGCTCATTAGCGCGCCTTTTCCAAGGCGTTTCAATTGAGTTATTGCACTGTCAATTGAATCATATGTACAAGAGAAATCGTCTTTCGTGATACCATCGTTAATTGAATGACCGACGGGCGGGCCATGATAAATCGTTTATAATACGCCATTTGAGAGGCGTCGATCGCTTTCTAGGAATTGCACCCATCGGCGATCCGACAAAGGTTTTACACGGTGGTTGAAGAATATGTACTTATTGACTGAGTTGGAGGCCCGTACGGGAAAATATTTGGCTCGAGGTTATGGCGTATGGTACGAGCGCCGCGAGGTCCGTGCAAAAAACCGAGAGCCAAATATTTTCCCGTACGGTCCGACCTAACACAGTCAATAAGCATTTTATCATATGACAGCTTTTTTTAAGCCATTTCTTGAAAACTTCATGCCGGGAAGATACAGGTTTGTACGGCCCTGTCGCGAAAAGGCGTACGGCCCCCATAACATGACCATTTCCCAAAGGTTTTTTAAGAGCGCGCGTGCGTAGGGCCGAAATACGGGTCATATGATAAACGGACCGATCGTACGATGTAGACCGACCTCACGTTCAAGTTCCCGTGCAAGAACTGAAGTATTCAAATAAACTTCCTGTTTGCTTTTTGGACGATGAAACGATGGCAGATATATCGGCATATTGCGAGGCATTATCTTGTATTAGTTGTCGTTCGTACATCGTCCAAGCTTCCAGCCACTGGTCGAACGATTCCATGGAAGATTGCCGTTTGTTCTCCTTCGAGTTGGTTGTTTGATTTTCAGCAGAGTGGTCAGGTAGTAGGGTAATAAGGTCAACRTACGGTAGAGTATAGTTATACCTTTGCTTGATGAGGATCCGTCCACCAAGCTAGGACTTCCTACTTTCTCGCGAAGGCAGCGCTGGTCTAATTGTAGGGATTCCATATGACTGGCGAGAGACTGAAGGGCTTGCAGAATGTGACTGTTTGTGTTTTTTGGATCAGCTGATGATTTTCTCTTTGAATCTACTTTTGAATAACAATTCACAGTTCTGACAAATCAAGGGTCCTGTGCAAAACGTAGTGCTAAAAACGTGGTCTTTCTTTTGGATTTGGCATCCAGGGCATTTCATTTTCGTCTCGACATCTATTTAGTTATTAGTAGCAAAATCGAATATATACGTGATAAAATCGAATGAGGTGAATAATACGTGATACGTAAGCGAGAGCTAATCCACAATGAAATATAATATAACTATAGGACTGAGTAATAGTACTCTGCTCCACTCATGATCAAACTATGCAAGAAATATTTACATCACTTATATGATTCTATATAATTTCTCTTCACAGATGAAGATGAATCTTTTGGGCTTATCCAACCAACACTTATCCAGCAGATTAAGAAGATCTTGGACGAGTATCCAGATGATGGACAGATTCTCAAAGTAAGATTGCAACTCCTTATATTTACTATAAAATACTATACTAGTAATGAAGTAGTAAAAGTATAGTTAATTGATAATTAATGAATTAATGAATGGACATGATGGTTGAATGAAAAGACTTGAAAACTGACATAGTTACAGTAGTGAATATTTAAGTTACGAGATCTTATTTGTGAAGCATTAACCTCGAAAGTATGTAACATGTTATTTTGTCATATAATTAATGGGCGTATCCAAGATCTTACATACCAAATTGTCACTGTGACGTCAACATGATGTCATATTAATCCGCAAACAATTGCTTCAGAGAAAAATTCATTCGTTTAATCTTACCTTATAAGGAAGTACTAACGTTAGAAAGTTTTTTAAAAGTTTTTTCCACCTTTTAGTGCTTTAAAATGGCTAAAACTTGCAGAATTTGCAGAGAAATTGCTTTTCAATATTCCGGCCATTATAATTTTGTCCTAGTCCCCTCCCATCCTTGAAAATAAGGAATCCCACAAAAAAACACAGGTAGCCCGCGCGAATGTCAGGCAATTGTTTGATATATATGGTTTTCACGCTTTTTTGGCTTTGAAAGGGGGGGGTCACGGGCAGCCTGTTAATCAGATGAATTAATTATATATATAAGCATCTCAATTTCTTTGTTGTTTGGAAAATTCTAAGCATTTAATCAAGAATTAAGAACTTTRTTTAAGAGCTTAATTAAGAACTTTATTTGACAAAGATGTTGTGATTTTTTTTGCATCATGGGCGTTGAAAAGAGTCTTTACATTTGTGCAGGAACTTATTCAAAATGCAGAGGATGCTGGTGCAAGCGAAATGAAATTTTTAATAGACCACCATTATTATGAAACAACAAATCTACAATACCCAGAGCTGAAAAAGTTTCAGGTAACTGATTTTTGAACTACATMTACTTTTAGCACGTTATCCATGATGTTCTCTGTTAATTTTTGTTCAAGGGTCCTGCTCTTTATGCGTATAATAATGCCAAGTTCACTGAAGGTGACTGGAAAGGATTGGGAATGCTATGTGACAGCATTAAAGTTAAAGATCCCACAAAAGTTGGTCGCTTTGGTCTTGGATTTAAATCTGTATTTCACATGACAGGTAAATGAAGCATAGCCTGATGATTTTAAACTAATGTTTTTGAAAATCRTTTTATTTATAAGGCTTGGTCTTGTTACTGAGCAGCTGAAGGAGAGACAATGTCTGTAAACCGAAGACWTAATATCAATATTCCAGGACTCGGGAGAAAGACGGTGTATTTTTGCATGTCAATTAATGGTGTTATGCATCGCTTAATTGTTGTGTTCTTTCAGTGTTGTAATTCTTGTTCAATTATCAAGATCTCAGAAAGTCTTTGGGATATCATTGCTTTTTTTCGTTTTCATTTTTTTACCATTTAGTTTTTTTATACAATAAATTCTGTCTTCTGTTTCTAGATTTAGAACTAAAAGTTTTTGTGGTATTTTTTTAGATCTTCCCAGTGTTGTAAGTGGTAAAAGTTTGGGGATAATTGACCCACATGAAAAGTGCTTCAGTAATGAAAGTGGAAGAACATCAGGAATGCGTGTCAAGTTGAATGRTCCWATAACGTGCAAAAATGAGTTCGCCCCGTACAAAAACGTGTTTGACTGCACCCASGATACTTTCCAGAGAGGTTTCTACGATGGCACCTTGTTTCGGTTGCCATTCAGACAGCAAACGTCAAAACTATCTAACACCCTATACTCTGACGACGAAAAGATTCAAGGTTTGTTCGAAAGCTTTAAAAGTGACGCCCATTTGATTTTGCTCTTCTTGATGAATCTGGAGCGCATTGAGATTTACGAGAGGAAGCCTGGCGTTCAAGATGCAGAGAAACTATTCTCGGTTGCTCTTTCCAAAGATTGTAAGGCTAGCGTGCAAGCAGCGAGATGTAGTTTCAGGGCAAAGATGGACCAGAAGACATCTGATGACGTAACTCAAACTTACGTTGTTAAAATCGAAACTTTAGACTGTCAATCGGGAAAAAGCAGCAAGTATTCTTATGCCGTTACTCACTTTCTAAACAGAGATAAGCTGTCYAGTAAAATGGAAGAACTGGTGAAAGATGAGTCACTCAGCTACATGCCACGTGTTGGTGTTGCTTTTCCACTAAATAACGTTGACGAAGTTAGAGAGCCTTCCGGACACGTGTTTTGCTTTCTACCACTGCCTTTAGAAGACAAAAGTCTAACTGGTCTTCCTGTCCATGTCAATGGTTTTTTTGCACTTAGCCAGAATCGTCGCCACCTGAAATGGCGAAGCGCTGACCAGAAATGTAGTACAGATAAGTCATTGGATTGGAATGAAGGTCTTTTGGCTGAAGTTTTACCAAAGGCTTATGCGGAACTGGTCTTTTACCTGATTTTTGAAAGAATGCTGCAAGACGTCGTTTATTCTGCATGGCCTGACGTGAGCAGAGTTAATGCAAAATGGAGCGGAGTTTTCTTGAAGAATTTCTTTACTTTATTATTCACTTTATGTGAGCTTTTGTGCAGCGATTTAGATGGAGGATGTTGGTGCAGCCTGAAAGATGTCAGATTCGATAACATTTCCAGACACTCTGACACACGAGATTCGGTGATCAAGCTGCTAAATGACGTTGGTCACAAGATCGTTACGGTACCCAACCATGTACAACTTGCTTTGAAAATGTATTATTCTGGCAATTTCAAGGAGATTACTCCAAGTTTGGTGAGGAAAAGTCTAAAGAATAATTCTTTGCATTACATCGTTCTCTCAAGAGAGAAAAAGCTGTTTCTTCTAAAGTACATCTTAAGCGATTCCAAATTCAAACAACTTGAAGGTCTCCATCTTCTCCCGTTATCAACAAAGGAGTTCACTAAATTCAACAGCAAATGCTCTGATGTCATCTATATCGACTCTCCTGAGCACCCAAGATCGCTGCTCCCTGGAATGGATGCAATGTTCCTTGACACAGATGTAGATGATTATATAAAGAATCAGCTGAGAATTGCCGCTCGAGAAGGTATATACAGTTGTATAATTAATTAGTTCTTATTGTCAATGTGTGGTTATTCATTCTTTGACCCTTTAAATCACATCCAATAAGGGAAGGTACGTTAATTATTTGGGGGGGGGGGGGGGGGGGGTTGGAGTTGAAGAGGGTAGGGTCATATATCAATTTTTAATTTCAAGCTTTAGGGGAGGGTCACATCTTCACTCCAAAGCATATCTAGGGGAGGGTCATCACCTATTTTTTTAAGTTTTAACCTAGTATACCTGTGGTTCTATTTAGAATTTATTATCGCCAACATGAAAGCACTTGAGTAAGATATCTGTCATCAATTCTTGAAAATTTTGCAAAAAAAAAAACGCTTCCTCTCGTCCCAATGTCGAAAAACACTTGAAGGCATTCAAGAAAATCAAGGTGACCATGAATGTAGTTCGAGCGATACAGATGAGTAACTATTCTTGACTAATACTTTCACAGACTCAGAGTGGTCCAGAGTGGACATAGTTTTGTATTAATCTTTACCCATGTTTACATATTGTTATATATCATGTTACATATTATATACCCGTAATTCGAGCGATACAGATGAGTAACTAATAGTTTTACAGACTCAGAGTGGTCCAGAATTGACATAGTTTTGTATTAATCTTTACCCATGTTTACATATTGGTATGTATCAGATGTATAGTTTAAAACACTCGAGATCGTGTTTTATCAGGTATAAAGATTCGAGCTGAAGGCGAGAATCTTTATAACTGATAAAACACGATCTCGAGTGTTTTAAACGGCTTCAAAAACTCCAACACTAATTTGAAACTCAAATCCGTTAAAATTCTTGGAGAAATTGCCGTACAAATATGTTCAGAGATAAATGGGGCAAACTGATCATGCGCGAATCACTTTACAAAGCACTCTTGTCATCCCACATTGAATACGCATAAAGTAAAATAGAACCGCTCTTGGCTGTTCACTAAAATCGGTCGACATCCTGCAATGGTCAATGATCACGTTTCAAACCTGAGACCTTTGCTAGGGTCACGGACCTTTATATCTGATAAAGGTCACCCTTATTAGTATTCTTTATATAAAGAATACTAATAAGGAGCGTTTTATCAGATATAAAGGTCCATGCATGTGACCAAATAGGCTCATTCTATTGGCCTAGTATCTCATTAATTATGTATGAGTTTTTTAAATATCATATAACATATTATATACCCGTAGTTTGCGTCTTGTGTGTGTGGGATGGGGGGAGGGTCAAAAGTCTAGTTTTAAAATTACTGGGTAGGATCACAAATTTTTTGGAAAAATTACTCCAAGCCCCCACCCCCCCCCCCCCCCCCCCCCCCCCCATAATTAACGTACCTTCCCTGACTCTTCTATCGGAGCTCGTTGCAATCATTATTAAATTCAACAAACTGAGTCAATCATTTCATTTTCATAATTGTTAATTATCATAACTGTGATTGTTCATTTATATTTATTATTTACAGGCTGTGCTCAGCTGTGTCATTTTGGTAAGATTGGTTTAAAGAAGCATCTCCGCAAAGCATTACCCGCTGATTGGACGTCAAGTGAAGTCAAGTCAAGTGGACACGTAGAATGGTATCCAGGACATGGACAGCACCCACCAAGATCTTGGCTGGAGAACATGTGGCGATACTTAATCAAACACTTTAATGGTAACAACGACCTGGACGAATTTCTTGGCATTCCCTTGATACCATTACAAGATACATCATCGACAAAGAAAAGAGCGAAAAACCGTGTGAAATTGGCTTGCATACAGAAGCCCTCCACTCTGCTTTTATCGAATTTCCATCGCGATCAGCTTGAAAAATCAGTTTTAGAGAAGGTGAGCGCTTTTGGAGTAACTGTCGTGGAGAGCTTGCCAGAGTTTGTAATAAGTCATCGTAGTCTTGTACCCTACTACATCAACCCACCAAGACCTAGAGGCGTTTTAACAGCACTATTTATGGTTTTTCGATATGACCCTAGATGTATGTCCTTAGATGTAAGAGCTTTGAGAAAGTTGTTTTCTCAAATAAGCTCCCCCACAGCTTCAGAAATCAATTTTCTTAAAAAGCTGAAGTTATTTGACACGTGTTGCCATCCAGCGCTCGCCGTTCCATCACGTCCAGTCACAGTAATAGAAGTTCCCAAAGGTGCACCATTGAATGATTTGCCTCCTGTAAGATGGTGCTTTGAAATGATTGATGTCCGTGATAACAGTAGTAGAACGCTTGGAGAAATGCTTGGGATTGAGCCTATGGACCTTGCAGTTCTAGTGAAGAAGATGCTTGAAGATGCTTGGAGCGGAAAGTATTCCAATAAAGAAATTGACGATCTGGTCAAATACACTATGGATCATTTCAGGGTTTTCAGCAGAATAGTTTCCAATGAAATAAAACACTTACTAGCTACAATTCCATTTGTTACGTCGTACAATAACACTAGGAAGAAGCCAGCAGAGCTGTTTGATCCTCAAGACAACATCGTTACCGAGATGTTTCTGTATGAGCCTGATAAATTTCCAAAAGCCGGTTGTTACTATTCAAAGCCCTTTGTCCTTCACCGCTTGAAAGATTTGGGTCTCAAGGCAAGAGAAGACGTACGTCCTCAAGATATCCTTAGCAGTGCTAAAATGGTTAATCAAATTGGTAGTTTGCAAAAATCTGTAAAGAAATCGACAGCTATTCTTCGCCATCTGGATAAAAATCCAACACTGCTCAAGGCTCCCCTTCTTTACGAGCTTTATTCCATTCCCTGGATACCCGTTGTAAGTGAGAGGTCAGAAAGTTACCCTTGTACTTTAAAGCTTAATGTCCATGACGGTCTTGCGTGTCCCGAGGAGGTCACGTCCGTAAGATATCAACTGCTGGTGGGCAGCATCAATCCTCTAGTGGACGACACCAGTGCGGCTGATATTTCTCGGAATTTTGGTTGGAACAGAGCACCATCAATATATGATGTCATCGCTCATCTTAAAAATGTCATCTCGTCTTATCACGAAGAAGAGAAAAACACGTATGTCATCGTCATCAAAGAAGTTTATCGATATCTCGCTGGACAAAACGTTTCTGATGTGATAGTTGTACTTAATGAAGAACGAATTCATCAATGGATATGGAATGGTAACGGCTTCTCCTCTGTAGATGAAATGATTGAAACCCATGAGGTGATGAATTTACAACCATATCTGTACCCGTTGCCAATGGAAGTAAGAGAATTCACATCATTTTTCAATGAATGTGGGATGAAGCATGAGCCTGATAGCTATCTACTTCTAAACGTTTTACAAAGGATAAACGAAAGTCATTTAAATTGTTCTTCCAAGCCACAGAATGAAGTCAGACGTGACTTGCGCTACTGTATTCAAATACTCGATGCACTAAAGCCTAAAGATGGGGAAACACTTGATGATGAGATTCGAGCAAGACTTCTTGTCCCAGTAGATGTTGAGGAAGAGACGTGGCTGGAGTTGGCTTTGATAGAAGAGTGTACTTACTGTGATCGAGAATGGCTGCAGAAAGGCCACGAAGTCTCTGACGTTGATGAAACGGATGATGAGAAAATCAAGTTTGTTCATCGCAATATTTCCAATGCSACAGCAGAAATYTTAAAGGTGCCTACTTTGATGAGTCGAATACTCGATGCAGATGAGCTTGAAATGGGTGAAAGTTTTGGACAGTCAGAATCTTTGCTTGACCGCCTTAAAGGATTGCTTGAAGGATACACCGATGGCCTATCCGTTCCTAAAGAGCTAATACAAAACGCTGATGATGCTGGAGCTACAGAAGTACGATTTCTTTACGACGAACGAACAAATGACAATGCCATGACAAATTTGATTGATGAAGGTATGAAAGAGTGCCAGGGACCTGCTCTCTGGACATACAACAATGCCATCTTCACTGAAGAAGATTTTCAAAACGTTGTAAAATTGAATGCTGCCACAAAAGAATACAACACTAGCAAGATCGGACGATTTGGCCTTGGATTCAACTCTGTGTATAATTTGAC